GCGCTCTCTCTCTCTCTCTCTCTCTCTCTCTCTCTCTCTCTCTCTCTCTCTCTCTCTCATGTACGCGCGAGTCACTATTTCGTAAGCGACAACGCGAGCTCGATTCGCGATTAGCTTATCCCGGCATTACGTTGTGTTAGTTAGTCGTCAATGTAACACCGAGACGCTCGGTTTCGCTCAGTACCGCGCGACATGCCGCATATTCCAATTATCGGAGCCTAATGATCGAAGGGCTAATTGGACAAAGGCAGTATGCAGCCTATGCGAGAGGTGCCTGACGTACGTCATTTCTCCAACTGCGAACAGCGAGGATCGCATTGACAAAAGAGCGGTCGGTCTGTCACCGTGAAGGGGCGTAGTTCGTTGATGAATGAACAAATTGGGGCTTCAAATTAGGGTAAGACGACCGGCGATTACTTCGCGACGGAACATCTCGTGTCCGCACTGCCGCTAACAGGAACCGGTGTCGTCGTACGGTGGACTATATGAACGAACGATCGACACGCGAAATCTGATATATCCGCCGAAGGCTAATGCGATTATTAAGCACTATCCGTAATTAAGCATTAACGATGGAATTCATGTCGCCGCATCATTTCCGAGTTCGTGTCAACCTCAGTCGACACGGTATCTGATATCGTCCTAATATACATAATATCTAATACGCGCGCGTGTGTATATAGATGTATGTGTGTATGTCATAATCTACATATTGCAACAGTGCGCCATTAGTAGAGCATGTCTTCATTGTTCAGACACGGCGGGGGCACTCGCGTATATGTTCTCGAACGACGTTTTCCCCCCATTATATTCTCGCGTCGGGAAACAGTTAATGCGTCGCTTTACAATTCGCGGCAACTTGAAGTATCAATGCGGTAACCAGCACCTCTAGCTCGTCCGGTAAGAAATTAAGCCTGCCGCGACCGCACGCGACTTTTTACGCCGCAACGAAGAAGAAAGCGGCCCGACACGCGTACTCTCGCAAGTACTCCGTCAGGCGTTTTCGCGGCCGCGATTCGAAGGAACTTAAGGCGTCTTCCCGAGCGTAGAAATTGCGCTTTAACGTCCCACGGACGCATCCACCGCAATATGGAGATACAACCGCGGGTAAAAGTTCATATCTCACTGCGAGACGCCAACTTCGCCCGTACATCAGGAGTGACCGTAAAACATCTTCGTTCTAACTTCGATTCGCTCTTCGCGAGGCGCCGGCCATGCTCATGCGTAGGAAATTCCTCAGGGCCTAATTGGACTCCAGCCCGATTTGCCAAAATAATTGTGGGTTCTGATTCGCGATGCTTCAAGCATGCGATTCAAGACCCAAGGTTTTCCTGATATTTCTTCTGGACTTTATTTTACGTTAGAATTGGATAAAGCAGATTGAGAGACTTTTCAAATAATTTCGTTGTTCAGTAAAATGTGCTGAGTGATTTAAAAATATTCTATTTTTCCATATTTTATTCTACTGAATATTATAGTTAGTGTAAAAAAGGAATTCCTGTTTGATACTATAAAAGTATACCGATTGAAAAAAAAAGCACGAGTTCTTATGATATTTCTATTTCGATTCTAGAGGAATCATGTTTGAGACAAGAATGGGATTGTCAATTGGTATCGTAGTAAGACAACGAATTTTGGATCGAATTTGAGCGAACTCTAATCAGAATCTATAACCTACATTTGGGAAAATCTCGGAAAATTTCTACCGGTCACAGAGATTTTCTTTTTTTCTTCCTCCTTATCGTCGAACTCCCCGATAAGACAAAGCGTTTGGGATGAGATATTTTCCAACGTAAATGAGGCGAAGACACCTTTTCGACGTCGTCGTCGTTGTCGTCGTTGTTATTGTAATTAAAACAGCCACCCCCGCGCGAATGCATCCGAAACGCGTTTACACTCGAGGCCCGCGGATCGATCGTTATCCCCGGCAGTTTCTGCAATTGACATTCACTCCCACGGACGAAAGAAGATATTCGGTGTAAGCTGACAAAGGATCCCCTGCGACCTCGACTCAGGGGCGGAAGTCTAGCCCGTCCCGTCTGGAAATTCAATAATACTTTGGACGTGGAAGTGGAGAAGAGCCGTAGAGAGCATGCGGGATATCCGGCGCACATATAGAGACTGACCCTTCATTGATTAGATCAGTCATAAAATTCCGGACGGTATCCGGTGCGCCCGCGTATTGCACATCCCCTTTGTACTTTGCACAGTTGTCGAAAGAAGTCCGATCCTTGGACGATCCTTGGAATCTCGGGAAGCGCGTCTCACCGGCCAACCATCGTACGGGGCATATACGGAGGTCAACCCCTTTGTCCTCTTACGGCGGTCGTCGAAAGATATCTTAGGGATGTCATAAGGTTGCAATAAAGGTCATGAGCTCTCTCTCTCTCTTTCTCGCTTTGCTCCTCCTCTGCCTCTCTCTTTGTAGCACTGACTCGCACGCTACGAGTACCACGAAGACACGATCGTACGATCGGCAAGCGTTTCACCAGCGAGGTGCACCTTGCCTCCGTGCGTATCCGCGCGTATGCAAATGGCCATCGCGATTCGCGAGCAAACGCTGAGTCCTATAAACGATCGATTAAGTAACACACGTGGCTAACGGCTTCCGGCCAAGCCGTGCTGACGAGCCAAGCGGAAAGAACTGGGAAAATTCCATCGACGAAGTCGGAGATTGCCGGGAGCAGACGCGCCATCGATGAAACGTACTCGCGTAACATCGCGAATGCGAAATGCGGCTTCTTACGCCGATATCGTCGATAAAGGTCGGCGATGCGCGCGCGAAGCGCGCACGCGGTCAGCATGTGCTTCCTCTGTTTTTAAGAATCGAATCGAATCGCATTCGCGAAGTAAGCTGAAGTCGTACTCCGAATGATCCTTCGTCAGCGCGGAATCTCTCTCTCCCTCTGCTATACGCTGCCTCTCTCTCTCTCTCTTTCTCTCTCTCTCTCTCTTATTCTCTTCCGCCGACAACGAGAGTCATTCCCAACTCTCGTTGTCGGGGGAAGAGAGAGAGAGAACGTTGAATGCTTCACAGAGGATCGAATGCACCGCGATATCGCTGCGATACCGGACGACATCGCGATCGATGGCCGAGGCACTGACAATAACCAATTAATGCCGGTCATTAAGCATCAGTGACAGATCGCTCACGCCGAGCGTCCGTGCCGGCTATCGAAATGATATCTGACCCCGCGTATGCATAATTCAACGGGCCGCAATACCGGCTGCATCGTGAAAAATGCACGTCGATCTGTCGCGCGTGGGGATCGCGCGAGTGGTACGCCTAGGGGTTGCCATACTTTTTGATTTCATTCGGGGGCCGTTTCGCTTGTCTACTTGAACAAAGTAATCTCCAAGGATATAAAAGGATATAAAACCAATGCCTGGACGTGTATCTAATTCTGGACTTTCTGATTGTTTTGGCCTTCAAATACCAATTTTTTAAAACTTTTAGAGCATATAGAAGATATTATGTTATGTAATAACTAATTTCGGATTTTTCCCGTAAAATGAAACGATCGTAATTTTATGGAACAGTGTCATGCAAAGAATGATAGGAGATCGTAGCTCGAAATGGCGCACACATTGTTTCACAAAATTACAACGACATGAAAGAATACAGTATCGTGTTATATTATCTGAAAAATTCAAAATTACTTGTCGTACAACCCAATATATGTATGTTTTCTATATTGAAATATATTCGCATTCAAAATAGTAAGAATGTCTAGGGTTGGATGCATGTCCACGCATTTTCGGGATGTTATAAAATCCAAATGATGCACAAAGCATGTTGAGGCATGTATGAAACGTGTTTGTAAGGATATTCTTCCGACGAAATTCGCAAGGCAAATCCTAAGTAGGAACGTGCAAAGCGAGCACGTCGACGTCCAAATACGATACGCGTAATTTATTCAACCGAGAAAAAGAGAGAGAGAAAGAATAAGAGAAGCATTCTCTCATTAGGCGACCGCTGTAGCGCATCAGTTACAGTAATATCTTCGCGCTTTTAACAGAGAGCGTAACATTGAGTTACGCTCGATAGCCCGTTAAAGTCTCGCGGAACGTCCGACAACGAGAGTACGCCCGTAGAACATCGACGGGGGAGGGAAAGGGGGAGGGAGTGAGAGGGAACAACGCCGACCCAAGAATTATCGGATATCCTGCCGGTGACAGATTCCTCCGGAGATTTAACGGTACATTAGTTCTGGGACATCCTATACAGGCCGATAGCGTATTACAAGGCTCAGCATATTATTTTATGTTTGCAGCACACTCGCGTCATGAATCTTCGTCGATCGGGCGACGTCGGGTCGCGTCGCGTCGCGGCGCGACGCGGAGCGGCTCGGCGCCGGGCGTACATCATCCGTCGCTGAAATTCGTAAGAACGTCGCGATATGCGTGCGTGCATATGTGCGTGTATACGTGAGTGGATGTGTGTGTGCGTTTAGGGGGAAAATTTATAATAATAATAATCTACAGCGTATGAGGCCGCGCGCGAGTAGCCATTACGTCAAATAACGAAGATTTATGCCCGCGTCGTGGCGACGATATACGCGGCCGCATAGTTTATGCAAGCAACACAACTATCTAGATACGAGATATTATATGGATCGAGCGTGGCCGGGACTTGAGATGATACATGTGCGTCGATGCCTTGCTTAATCAGATACATTAATTAGCTGGCGTTAATGGACCTAGTTAGATGCGCGGCCACGCGGTACGCGCGTGTGTGTCCCGGCCGATCGATAGATCTTCGACGAGGTTATCGGGAATCGTATCTCGCGTACGTTGCGCGCGATGCATATCGTTCGGTGCCGCATTCGGGGTGATGCATCGTGAGATAAGGCGTGATGTGCCAGCGAGAAATGAGAGACACGCTCGGACGTCGAGGCGCTTGAAAAGTTCCGCAAAGAATTTCGTTTTAATTAGATGCATCGATTAGAGAACCACGGTGTTAATGAACTCGGTTAGTCGCGCCGCGACCATCGATCGATGGATCCTCGATGAGGCAATTGTTAGTCGTCGTGTGGATTAACTGTATACCGGCGTGCGATTACTATCGCGTGATATATTAATGCATCCACGTAATTAATATACGCTGCGTTCCCTTGAAAAGACCTCTCTTCTCCCAGTCTCTGCTATAATGTTTTAATTCCTTCTTCTTTTCTTCTATATCTTCCTCTCTATCTATCTCTATCTCTCTTTTATGCACATACATAATGTACTCCTATTACTGTATACTTGAAAGGATTTTATCCTAAGGCTTAATCTCTCCTTTTCTCTCTCTGCTATGATATTTTATTTTCTTTTCTTCTATATATATTTCTCCCTCTCTTCCTCTCTCTTTCTATGCACATATATACACATACTGTACTCCTATTACTGTATATTTGAAGGGATTTTATCCTAAGGCTTAATAAATCTCTCTCTCTCTCTCTCTCTCTCTCTCTCTCTCTTCCTCTTTCGGGCGCGCTGCTCCGAAGAATTTCGCGCGCAGGATTTCACGACGGATCCTCTAAACGCTAGTGAGGCGTATTGTTAAGGATTACAGATGGGTGACGTACGATCGATCGATCGCGCCACCCGGGCGACGTCTTGGCTCGGCTTTTTACGCGCGACTACATAATCTATCCAATCTATCACGGCGAATAAATCAAAACGCCCCGGCGAGAAATCGAATTCACTTTTGCAGCGCGAATAAATGTCCGGCCGGCGGCCGCGATAAATTCATTGACATATTTCATCCGGCTGGCGGCGGCGGTGGCGGCGGCAGCAACGGCGACATTCTAGTTTGCGCCGTCCGTCTGTCGTAATTAAATTACACGGGCGGAATCTAAAGTTAGCGAAACGAATTTCGCGAGAGTGCGCGTATTGCGCGCCGATAACGCGCGCCGGCTGACCGATGACGTACGTATCTACTTCCGACCGACGGTCGTGTGGCGGACCGAGTTAGTTATAAATCGGCACGATTTTATTTTGTCGCACGAAATAAAGTGCCAGTTCCTCGCGACACCTCGTGAAAACTCGCCGGCGAACCTAACACAATGATTACAGGAATTCAATTCTCCACGTGGCTTGTTTCGTTTTCTCTCTTTCCTTTTCTCTTCTTTTTCATTATAAGATTAATTTGGAGCATCGTGGTCGGTTGTATTGTTTCAGGTCCAGACCCTGGTACATAATTCATTCTGGCAGATATCCCTCTACGAATCAATAATTCCCTTTCGTTGTCTGCGTTCCCAAATATCACCCACGGTATCATCGCTCTTCTCATCGATCTTACTCCATTAACTTATCAGTTTTAGCAGCGAGTCAAAGATGAAGGAACTAAGAGAATTGGGAATGGAGAGAGAAAGAGAGAGAGAGAGAGAGAGGGGGGGGGGAGATTACCTAATAAGAAGTGAGTCTGTCGCCTGCTGCTTGTTTTTTTAATCATTCCGATTTGTGTTTGTGTTAAATGAAGGCAGTTAATATTTTATGTATTAAGAACACACACACAAAAGGGAGTGCGCGATAAAAGTGCGGTGGCCCCGTGCAAAATTACCGCGGCGTGTAATTAAGCATTAATCGCGCAATTTCTACTCAAGCGACCTGTATTACTTTGCGCGCGTCAGTCAAAGGGTCGCGTGTTTATATCACGTTCGCTCACGAAACCGCATCGTACAACATAGGTACACGTGCCTGATCTACGGGGTGACCTAAAAAAACCGAGAAAGACCCAGAGAGATCTGGAGTATTTGCGAAAATAGACGAGAAAAATCGCTACTTATCACAGTAGAGCTCGGAAGGAGCGCGAGGCGGAATAGTGGACATAAAAGGTTGATTTCAGAAAAAACTTCGGATGCGGTAAAATATCGCGAAAAAACGACCGAAACATCTCGCGTCTCTCATTTTAATTAAAAAAAAAAAAGTGTTAAATATTAACCTGCGTGCGTAAGCCGGATTGTCGAGCACTCGTTGTCGATTAATTATTGCCATCGCTCTTTATACTCGCAACATTCCAACGTAAAAGCCCCTGATTAAGACCCACGTTAACACTGACGAGCGGCTGAGTGACGGAATTTTTAGCCCCGGCGCATTTAATTGCAGGTTGTTACGGCGATACTTGTCTTGCAATTCGCGTGACTCGCGTACTCTTTGCGCGGCGAGATGCAATTAGGACAAAATTGAGCGACGGAAGTAGCAGCGCGAAGATGCTACGAGCGTCTCTCCTCGATCCGATATCGATTTGTACAAGGGGTATCTCGAAAACGTTAGACGTGATCACGTTAGACGTCGAGACGCATTGCGGGCCTGTGAAATTTTAAGCAGGCTCCGTACGTCCGAAGAGCACGAATATCGAGAATTTTTAAAGGCCTCGTTCTGATATTTTTCTTGCTGATATATCTCGAAGCAGAGAGATCCTTGAGGAGATTTGTTACATTAAAAGCTTGAAATATATATTTTCCGCGAATTAGAATTTCCAGATTACGCGTAACGCATTTTTCTTGTATGAGCCGCATTGATTGCCCAACAAAGATATTCGCAAACTTATACTTGCTTGTAGCGCGATATAATATTTAAAAAATGATGCATTCCGTAAACGTGTAGCGTCAAGTTGAGATCCATCTCAGGTCTTAACTAGACAGCGTGGTAGAGAGAGCGCACGACTTCGTTCCCGGAAAATCTGCGAATTTGCGTTGCGAGAGCGGGGTAACGCGAGAAACGCTTAAGATTTTAATTCAGTTTCAGTACGTATAATTATGCGCGCGGCAAGAAGCTCCTTCTTCGAGCTCTGCCGTATCCGAGATCTTAAGCCGCTTAGTTAGCTGTAAAATAGCGAGGCTGCAGCCTGGGGGAACAAAGAAAATACGGATTATACGGGAACATTCGACGTTCACGAGGCTCGGTCGTTTAGCTTACCAAAAGGGTTATTAAAACCAACATAATCGCGAGTATAATTACGTGAAATTTCACGTAGTTTTCGCTGGGAAATAGAAAAAGTGAGAATGAGAAAGAGAGGAAAAGAGAGGAAGAGAGAGAGAGAGTGCACACACGGTCTGAATTCACGACGGAATATCCGTGAGATACGACTCAATGACGCGCGTCGCATTGGACACTTTTATTAATATTATACTTTTTAGAGCTGAAATTTATTTTAGTGTAATGCTATTTCAGCAGAGAAGCATGGAGAAGAGGATTAGCGAGGCGACACGCGGCGATTTTGGTCAAAGCTTTAGCCGGCAGGAGACAATTCTGGCGTAGTTGAATAATAAAAGCGGTTTTTGCACCGATACTGCGCCCGCAAAAAGAAAAGAATAAAATGATTAAAAAATTTCGTTAATCGCGATCCAACTTTCTTTGCTATAATTTGCGTCCCTTTTCATCGACCATTTTTGTCGAAATGACTTTAATCTCTCGGCTTCAGGCTTGATTACGATATTCAATATCGAAGAGCTGCAGAAACCGCGATGAGATATTTTACGACAGCGGAAATGATTACATCACTTTGAGACATAAATATCACCGGTCTGTTTATTATATAAATTGCGTCTATCAGCGAACGCGCTCTGTGTACGCACGGATGATCAGGGTGAATGAAACGGAGATAGCTCGATTGATCGACTATTAATCCGGGCGCGGATTAATGATGGATAATTTATGCGTATTAAAGCTATTAAATACTAATGAGCGCAGCTGGTATGCGAACGCTGGCAAATGTCAGTCAGTCGGTCATAAGCCATGCACAGACTTCAGGTAGAGCTGGTTGGCTGTATATGTATGTGTGTCTGTTCTGTGTGTGTGTGTGTGTTTCTGCGTGTGTAAAGCATCCTGCGGAATGATTTAACGCTCACTGAACCGTACACAGTGTAAGACACTTTACACGGATAAAATGCGCGGAAAAGACCGTATACATCACTACAATAAATTCACACTAGCCAACTTCGAGACATACGGCGAAGACGGCGATATTTTTTCGCCGGCGTATCTTTCTGTTGCTTTATTATCGAGTGCGACCTACAGGAGCTGTGCATATATCTTATGAATGAATCACTTTCGCGCCGATGACAAAGCGTCTTCGAGGGAAGACGAACGAGGATGTCGAACGTTAGAGAAAATCGTCCATAATTAATCCCTTAAGTAATATACTAGAAAAAGTTTCGTGGAAAAATATTATACATCTCTATTTTGACTTACTTAAACTATTGTATTTCTTTAGCTCTCTTTTTTGTCAATCCCTCGAGTAGTATGCCCGAAAATGTCATGATAAAACTATTAAATCTCTTATGATTGACTTAAATTATTGTATTTCTTCAATTCGTAGCAAATGAAAATCAAATACATTTCGATTAAGTGACTTAGATTCTATTTGCCAAAATTCCTCAAAGAAAATGGCAATAAAGGGAAAAGAATCTAGATAAAAAATCTAGATAAAAAATCTTATTAAAAAAATTGCATTCTGAAGAAAATCGTACGACCGTTTTAAGTCTTCATTGAGAAGGTTGAAAACACGTGACATGACAAACAGATAATATCTTAATCACCAGCTCACTTATTATATACGAGCTTTCAACTAATTGCGCAGAGCGCGAGCGTTTCGCTATTATGCATGTGATATATTTCGAGTTTTATAACTCGTATAACGCTTGAGACTAATATTGAGCTTATATTCTTTTTTTACAACACACCGAAAGAGCTGTCAAAACTTGCTTATAGTTTAAGGTTAATGCGTGCATACAAAATTGACTTACGGCTGCCCTTCACGTTGTTTCTTCGCAGAGCGCGAGCCTTTATGAAACATTGTTTTCTTTTATAGTGCACGATCCCGAGATATTAAACGTCGATATGAAGCGGAGATCTCTCTTTCTCTCTCTCTCGCGCGCGTGCACGCTCCAAATACACGGACATTTCCTCCTACGCGTAGGATTTATGTCCCTCGTAAACAAAGCTAACTCCTAAGCTGATTTAACGTCGATCCGCGCGCATACCGGTGCGTCAGTATCAGTTACGTGTCAACGCTGCGCGAACGCAGTGACACAGAAGTTAACTCAAGTGCCTGGACTTCGGAGAAACTTTAGATCCAGAAGACTGCACGGCGCATTTTCTTATTTTTCCCGATTGCAACAGTCATGTTCTCACATCGGCAAGAAAATAGAACGCTGAAAAAATACAGGTTCCAAGAGCGCGTTGGGCTAATTCCCAAGAGAGAGAAAGAGAGAGAACACGTCCCTCGGTTGCGTCTGCATTTTTTCTGCGGCCAAAAATATTGGGAAGAAGTCGTGGAAAATCGTCTCGCGAGGAAATCGTTTGTAGCTCGTCGGTCGTCTCGAATGAGAAGAAAGTGTAGTGTTCGAAAGATATTGCGGATGTCTACGTTACAACGTCGAATGAATGACGCCGCCAGTAGTCGGACTTAATTAGAGCGCCGATGTAGATTATGGCGGATGACATGCGGGAAATGTATGTAACGGATACTCACACTTTATGTCCAAGTTCAGCGGATTGCTCTCGCCGTCGCCCTCTTGATTATTGCCGATGCACGTGTAAATCCCAGCTCTGCTGCGAGTGACGCTCTGCAGTACCAGGCTCTGATTACTTATTATCGTTCCGGTCGCCGCGTTGTGATACAGCGGATTGGTCTGCGGATGCGAAATCAAACGAGACCACGTGTTTATTCGGCTGTCTGTGTGTGAACAAACTCACGGGGAGTCCAGAGCACACAACTAATAGATTATTTAAGCTTACAAAGGCGACCCGGCAAGCCCGAAAATTTAAAAAATCTGAAGCCTCGCGCGACTACGAGAGAGAGAGGGGGAAAGAGAGAGAGAGAGAGAGAGGGAGAGGGAGAGAGAGAGGGGGAGAAAGAGAGAGAGAGAGAGAAGGGAATCGATTCCAATTCAATTCTGACCTACGACTATTTTTCGTCGCGGTGAAAATGAACCGTCCTAAGGGACGGAATAATATTTTTCCCGCTGATAAGCACAATCGGAAGAGCTTCCTTCGGCTGATATCGCATTGAAATTTTTAGAGTTACCGGCAATGTAAACGAGAAAATAACCGCACGACTAATGGTAAATAATAACGAGTAACAGCGTTATGAAACGCGCGTACATCGATATTATGCATTTCCGTCTCGCTTGCTCGCGCGATATTAATGCTGGGAAAAGTGCAAATAGGTTCTCCCGCTTTTCTTTTTTTTTTTCACGAACGCGCGCTAAGCGATAATAAATCCCGCGTGAGAAATTCACGACGGGGAACGCTGACAGTTCCTCGATCTCGCGCGCTCCCTCGTCGCACGTGCGACTTTCGAGGCCGCGAAAGCGGCTTTGAGTTTTCGCGAAACAAATTCAGAGTCCTCGAATCGGGGAAATTGATTGGGATTTGCGTTCTGCGGTGTTTCCCGCGTGTACTACGACATTCGCGACAGGAGCCACGGAATTGGCTCGAAGGGATATCGAAGTTCGAAGGACACCGAAAAGTTAAAGGGGACGCCCGAGAAATTTGACCTGGCGATTCGATGAAACACACGTATATACATACACGTGTACATGACACGGTGCGTTTATCATTTAAATATTGTAAATGCGTCCGTTCCGATAGCGACAGAAAAAAATACGCTCTTCCGCTTCGTAGGATTAAAATGAATTCGGTGTGATCCAGAGCAATTGCTTGCCGATCGTTTAATTGTGAAACGGGAAATATTTTGATTTATATGCGTGATACGCATATCGCGTTATCAGATCCGAATCAATTGCGTGTATGACTTTATCATCGATAAAAGACAAAACGTCCTATGAATGAAGAGATTAAAACACATTTGGACAGTGACAAATCGCGATCGTGTCCTGATCAATCGTTGATAAAACTCCTCGTTTTATACGTGCTGCTCGATTCGTGCTACGATTACCGTTCTACATTAGTCACGCCAATTATTTTAATAATGAAGGAAAATATTGTACACTTCAAAGGCTTTAGAATAAATTCGAACATTGTGACGTGATCCCAATGGATTACGCTCGAATAATATTCGCTCGCAAATATTCACATGTTGTAAATCGCATTACGCGAATTCAATATCAATAGCGCGGATTATTTCTAGTATTGATAAGAGGAAAGGTATAAGAGGAAAGATCATATACGTAATATTAGCTCTTATTCCTCTCTCTCCCTCTCTTCTTCTCTCTCACACTGATTAATTAGTTTTTTAGAGTCAAGGGGTATACTTTTAAAGTAAATCAGTAAAAATATTTCTTTTATTTATGATTGATAAATAAAAGGTATATTTCACCCGTAATCAGTGAGTATTCACTGATTTTTAGTAAAAATGAAATTTCACTGCAGAATTATTCGTTCATTTCATTGTGATATATAAATTTTTTATACACTGTACGCAATTCAATTTTCTGCTTTTGTAAACTGAATCAATAGCGAAAACAGTCGTAACTATTATAACTGACCAGTGAGGTTTTACTGATTACAATGCTATACTGAGAACTGAATCATCAGTTACAAGTATACAGAAAAAAAAGTATAGTGATCCACACACAATTCAACATTGAATCTGGTTGGCATCATCAGATTTATGTATGAGCCAAACAAATTTGTTTTTTCCATGCAGCATTTCAATGAAGAATACACTGACTGTACTTTAAAGGATGTTTTATCTCCGATAATATCTTAGATTGTCTAGTTTACGGAACAAGGTGTAAAAATTATATTAACAAAATAGCGATAATTCCAATAATAATACCAACCAATAAGAACCTTCATCGAATCGAAGATCTCTGTATGTGTGTATTGTGCACCTTTTTCAAAACAAAGTGGCAGATTTTCAAACAAGAGAACACTGCATTACACGAGTCTTCACGCGGAACGAACTCCCGGGAGGAAAATCTCGTCGCGTTCTCTCTGAGGGTTAATTACTATTTGAGGTAAGTCCGCTTTATACGCGCCTCGCGTCGCGTCTCGGCGATACGAATCCGAGATCAAACGATGAGCGAGTTTTCGGACGGAAGGAAGTTCGTATGTCGCAGGTGCACTCTGCCGCCGTTTCCTTATCTCGACGCGATTAAGCTCCGTCGGCTTATATTATCGATTTCTGAACTGGACTCGTTATCCGCGTTCTTCTCTCTCGAGACGCGCGGAGGAGTGTGGACTCACGTTATGGCGCCAGGAAACCTTGTAAACCCAGGGATTGGACTTGATGTTGCACTCGAAGTAAACGTCGATACCCTCCCGTATCGCGCTCGAATTCAAATTGCTGCCAAGCTCGAGGGTAACCACAGGCTCGTCTGAAAACAGAATCGACATCAAAGCTCCGTGAATGGGATGCGCCAATATGAGAAATGCTGCTTTAATTACAGACACGATAATTAACGCTATTGATGTTTGAACGCTGGTAAAAAAAGAAAGAGAGAGAGGGAGAAAATGTGCTCGAACACTCGCGGGAGTTTAGGGTTAGAATTATATTAGGTTAGCTTAGCTTACAGGTTAAAACAGACTGGCTCGGACGTGAAGAGAAAACTGGAACTCTGATATTCGAACGAGATAGTAGTCGAACAATAATACGATTTTAACAACCGTGACTTCACGGCCTGCAGTGCTCACCGTCGTACATCCTCGCAGATCGTAAATAAATGGTCAGCCGCAATCGAACGCTGCCGCATTTTCTCATGAAAGAGTGTCGTCCGGCGCCGGCTTCGTGGTATTATCTCCGTGAAAAAAATGTATTCGCCGTATCGAACGTTACTTATGATTCCTTTCGCCGCGCGCGAACGAATCCGATAATTCCGCCGTTTCGCGATTCGCAACAAGCGAGTAAATTTCCACTCGCGTACCCGCCTCGACTCGCGGAATTATCGGCGGGCATGACTAATGGAAAAAATCCGCGGGAAGACGAGAAAATGGGGCCGAGAAAAGGCAGTCGATGGAAACGCGCCGCGAAATCGGGTTGAATTTCAACCCAGCAGGTGGCGGCAGTGGCAGCGATACAACACGGTGGCGACGCGGCGGATCGGCATATGCCATTAATTTCAACGTGGAGCGCTCACTTCTTTCCTCTCTCCCTCTCTCTTTCTCTCTCCTCGCTCCGTGTGTCGGCTGGGTAAAAACTTTTATATTGGACAGTGAAATCACGGCGTTAATCCCGGTTCGCTGCAGCAGCACGGCGTCCGCCGCGTCGTTCCACGGCGATTCGTGCTGCAACTTTTATGTATTAATGCCGCGCGAAAGTTGCACCAGGGGTGCAATTTGAACTACGCCGAGCGCGTGGTCGACGCGAATCACCCCGTTGGACAGCAACCGTTGATTTTCCGTGCGCTGATGAATGAGAGAGGAGAATCAAATCCGTCTCAGGACTCTATCAAAAATGTAAGTATCGCGCCAGCATTATAATAAACGGTGCAGTAGTCAATAGATTAAGTGCAGCTACATTTTTTCTTGACGAGTTCTACAAAGTGTGCCGCATAGGGAAATACAATAGAGAATTGTATTTCCCGAGAATTATTAGAAAAACAAATTCTCTCATTGTATATAAGATGTGTTACGAAACTCATTCAGAAAAAATGCAATCAGCCGACTGTACGCGATAATACTTTACAGCGATCAACGAGTATCGATCGATCGATCGATCGATAGTCGAGAACGGCCATATTGAGATTCCCGATACCTGTGATTGGTCGATTCGCAACTGTTCGCATCATGTAAACGCTATCATTCTAGGCGCCAAATCATCTCGAAAGGAGCCAGGATTAACAGGTTAGGTTTTCGACACTGTGATGATCGTTCACATCGAGTCTCGAGTTTCTAGATTTTCTGAAGATCGTGCGAATTCTCCTGTACGAAGGTACACGCTTTTGAGACAATAATAACACGCAGTGATATGCGATGAGTGACAATAAGCAGTCACAGCCGCGGCCGCGAGTAAGAACAGACGCATTAACGCCGCGTAATATTTCCGTGTTTTCTAGATTGTTCCGAATCGCGCGAGATTAAAGTTACGATATTCTATGCGCGTTATCGTCGTCCTGGCATCTTCGTCGTGTTGAGATTCTCGATTTGTGATTGGCTGATTCAATCGCGACTACTTGTATCGTGCTATCGTTCTACGCGCTAAATCGACTCGAAAGAAGCAGGGGCTGATCATATTTATGACACTATGGTGGTTGTTCGCGTCACGACTCGAGAGTTTTTAGATATTCTAAAGTCGTGCGGCATCTCCTATATTCCGTCGCGTTCAGGTCGCGCGACCTTCAGGCGACACAACACGCGGCGCTACGTGATGAGTGACGATAAGCGGCCACAGTGGTCGCGACCGCGAGCGTGAACGGACGCATTAACGCCGCGTAATATTTTCGTGTTTTCTAGATCATTCCGAATCGCGCGGGAGTGAAGTCACGATACTCTGTGCGTGTCATCATCGTCGTGGCATCGTCGTGAACAGTGACAGCAACGCGAAATATGTGAAGTGATTCGTATTCTATTCAACAACACGGTAAACGATACGTGGTAGATTAGAGAGCATACACTCTAAATTTCTTGGAGTGAGACTTCACTCCAAAGTAGTGAAAATTGCGCCAGTCGAAGTTAGAGCGAGAACTTACCTCCAAACGAGTGAGAACTCACTCTAAACGAGTGAAAAAATCGCTTGGAATGAGTTTTCACTCGTTTGGAGTGAGTTTTCACTTGTTTGGAGTGAAATTCTCGCTCTAACTTCGATTGGCACAATTTTCACTACCTTAAAGTGAAGTCTTACTCCAAGAAATTTAGAGTGTACGGAAGAACGTAAGCAAATTGACTGACCACAATCGATTATTGCAATCCACGAATAATTATCTGTGATCGGACAATTTTCTTACGCATTTCTGTGAGCCACGGATCTACAAGTATAAGAATGACAAATCCAGGTTTTTGTCGAGTTGATTTGACGCACGGAACGCAGAAGTAGCGCTTACGTGATATAAGCAGTTGAATCGACCAATCACAGATCGAGAATCTCAACATGGCCGTCCTCCGTTCTCGACCGTGATCGATTCAAATGTAACTATTCACGTCATGTGAGCGCTATTTCTGCGTTCCGCGCGTCAAATCGACTCGACAAAAACTGGAATTAACACGTATCCGACGCTGCTGTGATTGTTCGTCTCGCGCGTTTGTTGATATTCTGCAGATCGTACGGGATCTCCTATGCTAAGGTCGCGCGACTTGGACGATAATACGCGCGGTATGCGATGAATGACGATGCGCGATTCACAATCATCGCCGCCGCGAGTGTGAACGGACAGAGTGACGCCGTGCGCCATTTCCGTTCAGGAATTGCGCGTAAACGAAGTTACGATACTCTGTGCGTGTCATCGTCATGGCATCATCGTGAGCAGCGGCAGCAATACGAAATGCGTAAGGTGACTATCATATTCTACGTTTGTTAACCTTAACAAAAGAGCACGCTCGGAATATTCGAGTTGCAATATTCTCGAGTCGGAATATTCTCAAATCATCACGACTGCTCAGCCTCTCCATCATTGTGATTAATTGGACGAAATATGTTTCATTTCAGATTCAACAGTATTAGTTGCACGGAAGATGCGGTTTACGATGGATGGCAGAGGCTGCACCGGAGGATCCGGTTCGGGCCAAGCTGGGTCAGCTCGACGGTAAGTTCACAGACTTCTCTATACTCCTACATTTAACCCATCGCGATCGAAAGTCAGGATACAGTCGTTGGAACGACTCGAATTGCGATCGCAAAGAGCTGCGACTCTTAAAGAGAAACGAACCGTAAATCTAATCGGCAAAATCGCATTTTTCTGTTGCAGATCTACGTAGTGGCACGATGGTCCTGCTGCATCTCGACATAGTCGGTGAGTTTTGAATTGTAACACTCTTGGAGTGTCTCACATATACACGGAGAGAATCTTAAAATGAAAATTGCTATAGAATTTTGTAATAGATCGATATTCTTTAATTGGATTATGCTTCTTGCATTATTATTTTTGCTATTATTTTATATGCACTATTTATATCTTAGGCTTGTATTAATAGTCGTTACTTAAAGTTCATCTCTCACATGAGATATTCTGATCTTTATTCAGAATTAGATTCATGTTTTTCAGTTACATTATATAATGCATTATATATCACATTATATCTGTGATCGCAATTCAACTAAAATACTCTCATCTAATTCTGAACTTAAATTTGAATATCTCATTTGAGAGATGTTTTAAATAACGACTATATTAATATGCATTTTATAAACTAAAACGTATTAAAAATTTAATGTTAAACTATTACTATGTTTCTGATGAAATTTGTTATATTTCTACATAACTTTTTCGAATAAGAAGATAGACATTTTCTTAAAATTTTCCTTTAACTAATTGATTGTTTTATTTTAATAAAAGAATTTAGGTTTAAGTAAATATGTTATTAGTTCTCACCAAATAAATATCTTTTATTTCTTAGATATTTTTCTCTCAGTGTAGAGAAATTTATTGCATTTCTCAACAAGATTGATCTTATTAACAGCCTATTAGAAACATATTATTAGAAACATAGTAAAATTGAAAATAATGTATGTAAAAAAAAGAAACTATAATTCTCCCCGTGTATATGTATTGAATCTCTACACTAAGTATGAAGCATACACTAAGAAAAAATGGTTAAAAAATGGTAATTTTCGACTGTATCTTATTCTAATAAAAAGAAGTAATAGTAGCAATATATATATATATATATATATATATATATATATATATATATATATA